CCCCAAAACCCCAAAACCCCAAAACCCCATCTTTGTCCCATACCATTGAAAAGGTCTTAATTAAACATATAAAGCGTGATCTGAATTGCTTCAAAATAGAATAATAAAATTAAGCTTCATAAATACATCATTCGGTTAAATGATGAATATGCAAGATACACTAGCAAGATTTAGCATCAGGGCAACCTTCTGAGTGGCAGGATACAAGCCAATTCTATGATTTGTGGACCGAAAACAAGACAACATTCCTTCACTGGTCCAGAAAGTATGCTACCAACTAGCGTTGCAATACTACCAAGACTATTACTTCGTCATGGATAGTGGTGCTATAGTTGAGGATGTAGCACTGATAGAGCACGATGACATTATTTTTATGCAACGGACCAACAACAATACCATCCAATACTCACTGATGAGTGAGATGTATGCTCGAAATCAACAAATGATGAGGCAGTATTTGGCTTACTCTCCAAGTACACAATATCCTGCTTTCCAGTCATATGGCTATCCTCAGCAATATGTCCAACCAAGTCCTAATTTTACATACTGTGGTCAGAATTATGGTCAAAATCCTAACACAGAAATGGACTGATTACAACTTGATCCGATTGATATAAAAGCTGAGCCTATCAGTACTAAGGAAGCCTCTGAAAAGCCAGCCTCGGCTGATCCATATACTGCAAAAATTCCTTCAGAATATAATTCAAAGAAAGATTTAGAGAGGTCCTCTTCCAATTTTGAAGAGGTGAACACCTCTTCAGTCAAGAAGGAGCCCGCTCTCAATGATTTTAATGATAATTTTATTAAAGCTGAAGGTAATGAAGCCAGAGGCTTCATTCCTTCTGAGTTTAAGAATTTTACCACCATAGTTCCAAAGAACGAAAATGACATTGAAGATGGCTCAGCCTATTATTGTGACTTGCTAGAACTTCAGAACCAGAAGTTCTATGACAGAGACGATATGATCGAACGTGTTAGAGAAGTTGCTGTCCGCAACGGATTCAACATCTGAATTCCTCGAGGTGACATTACTCTGAATGATGGAACTCAGCAGACAACTCTTTACTGAGATAAGTACGGCACTAAGCGCAAGAGAAGTCCTGATGGAAAGGAGAGGTACTCCAAAAAGACTGGATGCAAATGGAAAATCAAATTTCAAAAGAGAGCAGGGACCAAATACTATGAAATGATAAAGACGAACACAAATATGCACAATCATCCAAAGAACGACAATATTTCAAGAAAGAAGAGGAGTAACAAACTTCAAGGAAAGCGGAGTCATGTGGGATATCAGAAGATGCTAGCTATGAAGAAGCTTGAGGAGGAGCAAAATAACATGATGCATCATATCCACCAACAGAAGATGCAGAGTCTTCTTCCTCATCAGGTCTCCACCGGGATGGGTCAACAAGGTCGCTTAGTGCCTGTCAATCATAAAGAAAAGGAAGAATACATTTACCTAAAGAAAATAGAAAACCCAGAAGACTCTTTGTTAAACAAGTTCAAGAGTTACAAAGACTTAGCTGTTAACTCGACTAGTGATTCTGATGGGGAATCACCTTTTGAGCTGAAAGATCCACATTCCTACTCTAAGAAGGATATTTCCAACCTCGAACTGGACGAGGTCGAGACCAATGATAATTCTTATACTTTCAGGGATCTCCCGGATGATCGGCGGCGATCATTTTCTTAAAAATAGTTTTAATATTTTAACATAGTTCTCAATAAATACTGGAAGAGTGGGGTTTTGGGGTTTTGGGGTTTTGGGG